TGCAGAGATACCTAGACCAAGCTGTAGACGGTGCCATTTTATTCAGCATGGGATCTAACTTGCCTTCCAAGTATTTAGATGTAGCCAAAAGGGATATCTTTTTGAAGACATTTTCTAAACTTAAACAAAAGGTTTTGTGGAAGTGGGACGGAGTTCGCCTTCCAAACAAAAGCGAAAACGTACTGACCCGCCATTGGTTTCCCCAGCAAGAAGTTTTGGGTATGTTACTCTGACGATAAAGCGTAAGAATCGGTGTTTTTATAGCTCATCCCAATGTCGTCCTGTTTGTTACCCACTTCGGACTACTTAGCACAATTGAGTCACTATACCATGCCAAACCGATGCTTGGTATACCGGTATTTGCTGATCAGGTGTCGAATGCTGCACTTTCCCAGGCAAGAGGTTACGGTAGATACATTCCTTTCCAAGACTTGAGTGAGGAGAATTTTTATGATAACATACATGAGATGCTATCGAATCCCAGGTAGTCTGTATATGCAGCATCAGATAGTATTGATATTTTTTACAGATATTCTACCAATGCCAAGAAACAAATGAAAATTATGCACGACCGACCCCAAAGTGCAATGGAAAATGCTATGTATTGGGTCGAATACGTTGTACGTCATAAAGGAGCTCCTCACCTAAGGTCTTCTGGTGTAACTTTGAAGTGGTACCAGTACTACTTGGTAGATGTCATGGTTTTCTGTGCCGCGTTTGGTGTGGTTTTTATATACCTAACTATACAGATTTTCGTATTTATTTACCAAAACGTAAAAGTGACTAAGTGATAAGGAGGCGGCGCTATTGAAAATGTACAATGCAACTGACATTACTTATAACTAGGGGATACACACGAAAATGTCATTAGATTAAGTGTGAACACTTGAATAAAAATATATGTTAAACAAGGTACATATAACGCCAAATGAACCGCAAATTCCGAGGGTGCCCCTCTCTAAAACCCGGCAACAATCCAAAATCCAGAGGTTGTTTTATGCAAAAAATGATTCTTGTACTGTCTTGGAACCGAATTAACAATAAAATGATCAAATACCGTTGGGCAGATCCCAGTGCAGTGGAAAGTACCGTTCTTTCCACTGCGAAATGTAGAATGCAATTACCGCATTGACCTCAGTTATTCCTTAGAACGGTCGAGATAAATTTAACGTCTTTCTTTATACTGTAACGATTTATTTTCTCCATTACGAAGCATTATTATTGTTTATTACATGTTGAAAAACCTCCGTCACTTTTGAAGCGATTTGTTGGATGGTTCCATCTATTGATGGCGCAATTTTCCGCGCAGATTGCCAGCGCCTTGATTTTTGGGTCATTTCTTTTTCTTCGTAAGCCGTATCGAAGTACACGTCCTTTAAAAAAACAGCTGAAAGCGTAAGGTACAACGCATGGAATTCTAATTGCCATCTTCCGAATATATTAATCTCTGCCGATTGGATTCATACTTTGGGAATTCTGTATAATTACTTTGGCCGGGATTCACCTGTGCTTCTAGGGAAGTTATACATTTCCGTTCTTTTCTTTTTATCGTTTTTATCGTTATCGTTTCGTTGTACTGCACTGTAATTTCCATCGACAATTGCTGCTTCATCTACGATTGGTCGCGATCAGATAGATCGTAATGGCAGATATAAAAATATACTTGACTAATTTTTTGTATCTCGCCAAATGAAAGATATTGAGGTGACCTTCTTATCTTGAACGCACTGTATAATTGTGCCCAGTATAAAATACGAAACGAACACAAACCGGCACTTACCCAATCCGATGGCGCAAATTTACTCCCTTACACTTGCCTTAATTGTGTCATGATGGCCTCAAGACCCAACAGTCGAGTTCCCGGTTATCGCTGTAACGGCCCGCGCTTTCCTTGAAACGCGCAATTTTATCGCCAAACATACTCACGAACACCTTTCGTATGAAGCGGTAGATCTGTGATTTTGCCTATATATACAATTTTATCACCTTCGGATGATCTAGCACTTCAAGATAATAACATTCTACTCCAGTTACAAAAGAAACATTCTGCTCCTTCGTGATCTGTAATTTTTCCAAATTCCAAACCCACCTGACGAATCTACTGAACCGTTTCGGGTTACTGAAAAATCTATCGCTAACTTTTCTAATGGATTTACTGCGGGAATTGATGGATTTCGGCCACAATATCTCAAAGATATGATTTCAATACCCACCAGAGAAAATGGGAAGCGTTTCTTTACGTCCCTCACACTGCAATTGTATGCTCTCCGTTGGAGTTTTAACTTCTAGCACTCTGGTATTGTTTCGAGCATCCAATGCTCCACAATCAATAAGATCTTGTCGAAGGGCACCACATTCCCTTTGTCGGTATCCACTTCCGACGTCCCATTTATCCGCAACTCGCGTTTGAAGTTTTGTCTCCACGATCAGTAAGATCTTGCCGAAGGTTACCACATTCCCTTTGTCAGCTTCTGTTGGCGATACGAGATTCGAACTCGAAGAAACCTTTGAACGCCCATAGTCGCCTATCCCTCGAAGACGCGCGCCTTGCAAAAGGTGGCTAATTTCGCCCCGCGGAAAAAACAACAATCTGTCACTTAGCAGCTTTGCGCGTTTACAAGATCTTTCCGACGACATCAATTTGAAAACAATCGGGTCTAAACTGTAAAAGAAGATAAAAAAAACCTGAGAAATCACCACATTAGTATATCACGCTCGAGGATGGCGCTCAGATGTCGGCGACGTAGCCCCATTCTTAAAGTTAATGTTAATTACACGGCCCCGGTAGGTACATGTACATTCCTCGTCTTGCTACAAGCGTTTTTCTACGGACCCGCATTTACTGCAGCCAGCCAGCCGGACAAAGTGACATTAAAAGTTACCTTTTTCTAAATAAATTTGCAAAAATGCGTCGACATCTCGACAGCCTATCCTATCGAAAAATAACTTTTTAACACGCTAAACCTTTGTAATAATTATTTTATGAGTTGTTTAAGTAAGTAAATTATTAACACGATCATTTCCAATACCAATGTCTCAACTTAAAGCACCTGTTGGTTGAATACATTTATTTATGTAGGCACTTGCACTTAACTTTCCTCTAGCTTCTTTGTAGTGAAATTAAAATGTTGCAACAATCTTCTAAGTGCAAACACAGTGAGCCAACAACAAACTGCAAACGCCAAGATGGCATCGAGCAGAAAGTATTGAAACCAATTTAAAGACAAAGCGGGTGATTTCAGATGGGGCGCTCCGCGATGACGTAAAACGTATTCAATCCAAAATATAGCCCTTTCCATTGGGGGAAGTGGTTGATCGTGCATAATCCTCGACCTAGCCTTCGCGTTACTCATATACCTGCAAGATTAAACTAAGCTAATGCAGACAGGACACCCACTTACCGGGGATTTTGAATCATTTCGTTTAAAATTTCGCGAAAATTTTCGCCACTCACTTTTCCGAAAGGAATAAACCTGCCATAACCGGCATCTTCCGCCCGTGCCGAGTTTAGGCCTTGATCTGAGAATACGGGCAGTCCCAAGATCGGTTTGCCAAAATAAACCGATTCAATTGTGCTGAGGAGACCACCGTGTGTTATGAAGAGGATAACGTTTGGATGAGCTACAAGTACAAAGGTATTCACAATCGCAGGATCTGCATCATACCCAAAATTTCTTGTTGTGGGAACCACGGGCGGATTAGGACATTGTCAGGCTGATCTACCAAATCATCCTCGAACTTCCATAAGACTTTTTGCTTCAGTTGAGCAAATGCGTCCAGCATTGTGTTTCTCAGGTCGCTAGGGAAATTGCTGCTCTTCAAGTTGGATCCCATGCTAAAGTAAATGGCTCCATCAGTTGCATTGTCCAAACACTTTTTCAAGTCGTCAGGAAGTCCTTTTGGGGTAGCGACGTGATAACCTGCGATGTCAATTGTGTTGGGCATATTCGGGCACACCTCGCTTACGCTTACGTGCCCATTATAAAGAATTAGGGATGTGTTCTGGTACAGGTCGTCCAAGTGTGGAGCGCCAGGGAAATACGTTTGTAGTAAACGATTATGTGCTGGATACAAGTAGAAGCGATGCGAGATTTCTTCGAGCAGAGAGACAAATGAGTTGAATGATCGTTGCACGAAATCCATTTTGCTCCCGTAACTCACCGTAAGCTGTGGGACATACGATGAAGGAGCCGAAAGTCCCACTTTATTGCTAAACCAGCTTGGTACTGGCAGCGGACTAACTGCAATGCAAGGCGCCTTATAGCGATGACAAAATCCGTTATAGGCGTCGCTTTTGAAATGTTGAATAATCACCAAGTCGAAGTGATTCCGCTCCTTCAAAAAGTTTTTCACGTTTGTACTATTTAACGCTAGTTCCGTATAAGTTAAGCCCAAATTGTCTAAGAAAGTGATTCGTCGGAGAAAGTTATAACCAGTATGACCTAAGAGGCCTTTTTTCATTTCTATAAAAATATCGAGTAGATTTATTAAATGACCAAAGCTCGCTTACTCACCTGCGGCCTTTTCAAACACATTATCAACAATCACTTGATTGAAATTTTGGATTGGTAACTTCTCTTTGTATGGAGATATGACGGTGACATTATGCCCTCTGCTCACTAATTCTTTAACAATTCTATCGCCCAGTTGAAAATGGCTGTGGGCCGGAAATGGGAAGACGCCCAAAATTTGAGCAGCTTCTATATGAAAGTCGACGTACAAGAAAAGAAGTGTTGTTAGGTGCACGTTCATTGTGTTGTTATAACTGTTGTTTGGCACTTCATAAGTATAACCTTGTATGATAATGAGAGGTCATTTATCAATTGCTAACGGCAATTATTGGTGCGATTATGGGAATAATTAGTTAATTAATGCCAAAGGTTACAAAATTAATACAATTTTTCTAGTTTCTAAGGTATCACATAGTTTTATAAAATGGTCTGAAACCTGCACTTATTTCGGCCGAGATTGTTCTGTATCCACAAATCACATACGGATAGATTGGTATCTTATATGGAAGAGAATGGAATACAATTTTTTTGGTTCGAGACTTAACTAAAGATAGCCCTTGCAACCGACAGGGTACTCTGAAAGAAATGCAACAGGTTAGGGTCTCCAGTTTCACCACGTGATTATGATTCTAACCGCAAATTACGTGTAATCATTGTGCGAATGCGAATTTTATTTTCGGCGTTGTTGTGCATTTTTGATTCGTTCTCAGATTTTTGTGAAATAACCCGTTCTTGAATAACATTTGTAAATAAACATAGTGCACTAGAACTTGCAGGTGTAAATACATAGGAAAACATTACTGTTTCGTAAATTGTAAATAAATAACTTGAACTGTTTACTGTTCGAAGTATTTGTGTAGTTGTGAAAAATATAGTTGTGTCGTGTATATTAAAGGTTGAATTAATTATAAGTGTTTGGTGTTTTGATATTAATGTAAATAGGTAAGTCCACTTTTCGAAATAGTATATTCCTTAAACATCTTACTGTTTTAGTTGTTTAGTGCGTCGCAGCGTAATGGACCTTCCATATATAAAGTACAAACTCAAGTGCTGTGTACCTGGCTGTACTGACAAAACTAGTAAACGCCATCGATTCCCTAAAGATGTACAAATGTTGCGGAAATGGGTTGAAGTTATACAGAATTCCGCACTTATGAGCCAGGAGCCATATACAATTTATAAATCTTCTTATGTTTGTGATCGACATTTTTCCCAAGAATATCTAGTACCTGGTACCAGAAGAGGGCTATCACGAATTGCTGTACCTACACTGTATTTAACAGGTATTTTACATTCATTTGTTTTTACAACAATGAAGTACCACTGTATGCATTTGTAGCATTTCCTGATGTAATGTCTACATCTGCCATAAGCATTTGTTCAACGTCTGGGGCAACCTCTACATCTGCAGCAATATTTTCAATGGATACGAGCGTCTGTGTAGGTTCCATTGCTGACACGGACCAATATTCCACCAGCCAGTCATTAGATAATGCTCAGAAAGTGTCATCAGTAAGACAAGATCCAAGTATGTATGGAGTGTATACAATTTGATGGATTAACACAGTTGTTTATTAATAGGTATAATGGAGTCTATTTTTATACCCGACATTGATACACCAACAACTTCAACAACGATCGCCATGAAAGAACCAGAACCGTCTATTAAAGTTTCCAAAAGAAGACGTATTTTAAATGCTGTGGAAGTGACACGACAAAATCAATTAACACCACGCTGCAAAAAGATGTATCAGATCGTGACTGAATGGGGAAAGAAAACAGCTAAATTACAGCATACATTTGGAAATTTGCAAAAACGTTTGGCTTTGGCTGAGAAGGTGGCAAAAAAGTCAACATTCACTGACCTAATGGATGCAGTGAATGAAACCACATATAAATTTATTCTGCAACAAATCCGCACACAACAACTTCCACCAAAGGCCCGTCGCTTTTCCCTGGACGACAAAATATTGGCACTATCGTTGTTAAAGGCGAGTGGAAAAGGTTATCGGCTTCTCTCAAAAATATTTTGCCTTCCATCACGCCGAACCTTAACAAACTTATTAAATAAAGTACCGTATCGTCCAGGTATTAACAAACACATTGTAAATAGCCTCGAGAGTGTTGTTGCAAATTTATCAACGAACGAAAAATTATGCGCTGTGGTATTCGATGAAATGGCCATCTCTCCTTCATTGCACTATAACAGCAAATTAGATTGTATTGAGGGGGTCGCTGATTATGGAGGGAAACGGTATCCCCATCTCGCTGATTATGCTAATGTGTTCATGATTAAGGGTGTTTATCGACAGTGGAAACAACCCTTTTCATTTACTTTTTCGAATGGCCCTCTTTCCTCAACACAATTGAAGCAGCTGATTGAAGAAGTTATTACTGTATGTCAACAAGTTGGACTTAAAGTAGTGGCTACAATTTGTGATCAAGGATCAGCTAATCAAGCGGCAATTAATGCACTATTAAAAGATGCAAATGAGTATTTTTTACAAAAGGGAATGGAAAATCCTCATCTTGGTTTCTTCATTAATAATCAAGAAATTGTGCCTCTGTACGATGTGCCACATCTGTTTAAAGGCCTTAGAAATAACTTATTAACCAAAAACCTTCATTTTACCAAGAATGGTGTGGAGCAAGTAGCTACATGGAAACATATCGAATTACTGTACTTTTTGGATACGTATGATGATACACGATTATTGACAAAATTAACAGATGCTCATGTAATGGCCAATAAAATAAATAAAATGAAGGTGTCCAGCATGACGCAAGTATTTAGCTATGGTGTTGGGTCACATCTGCAACGCTTTGCTGGTTGGGGTAGGTACTCACTGTATGTGATCTGTGTTCATATACTTGCATCATATTGGCACGTTAACTGCAGCATTTAAATAACTTACACTGTGATTTATATCAATATCATTGGTACCATGTTGCATGAATTCAATATATTTTGCAACACTCATAAGTGAATGTGTATAACAGTTAACCTGTTAATAATAATGCTGAAGCAATATATGTTTATAAATAAACTTCTTTTGTAGATACACATACGGATTACAGTTTGCCTTCTGAGGCTAACCAAACAGGTGAACTTGTATTGTTTATAGACAAGCTGTTTGATAGCCTCAATGGGAACCGTAAACTACCACCTGCAAGTAAACCCCTTAAAGGTGCCTTCACATTAACATCAGGACATGAGGAATTTTGGAGTGAAGCAATTCATATTATACGGTCAATGAAATACTGTGATCCGAAAACAGGAAAATTAGCAAGAGTTCCGTCTGTTACAAATTTGCAGAAGACAGTAAAGGGGTTCATATATTTTAAAACATCACTCTTACATAAAGTAAAGTATATTTTACCAAGGGCATTTAACCAAGACTGCCTAGAAAATTTTTTTGCATGCCTCAGAGGGTATGGCAGAAGAAATGTGTGCCCAAATGTTAACCATTTTATTCCCTCATTTAAGGCTTTATTAATCAATAATTTCTTATCCACTCATTCTATTGGAGCAAATTGTGAATATGATTTTAATGTAGGTGCGCTCGATAATTTACGCGTATTTGTAACTGGAGAAGATATTGCTGGCATTTCTCCTTTCGAAGCTGATATAAAGGATGACATACCTGTGATTACACATTGCAAAAAAACTCCTGTGGCGAAAGCTACTATAGCTTATGTAGCTGGTTTCATTGGCAGAAGGGTTTTAAAAAAAACAAAATGTGTTAAATGTAAAGAATTGTTAACAGCTTCAGACGGTAATGTGCCTTTACAAGTAATAGAAGCTAGAGAATATAAAAATTCTCAATTATTTCGGCCAGGGAGTTGCTTGTATTTTCTTGTAAGCCAAACATGTACTTTATTATTTTATTTAATACCTAGGCACTGCCATCAATATATGTTGCGTAAGAGGTTAGTGAAATATCTGACACAGTCATTAAATTTTAATATTCTTAATTGCACAACACATACACAATTAGGAACACTAGTTGTTAACTTACTAGTTACGACAATCTTACATTTTTGGTGTAAGCAAGTGGGTAGAATTTTAAGTGGGACAGATCAACGATTTGTTAATTTAGTGTCGAAAAGATCAGATGTAACTTCAGTTGATCCTGTAAAACTGGAAGCTTTGAAGAAATATAAATCTAAGTTAAAAAAAAAATTTGCAAAGTGATACTAGTTACCGTTAAAGTGTTCAGATTTATTTTGATTATATACAATAAACGATACCTATTGTTAATCAATGTTAAGTGCATAGAATAATAGTTATTTATTATACAAGACGATAAAGGGATGCTTTAACATCGAGTGAAAGCGTTTAATTCACGAGCGCCAAGTGAATTACGTTTTCACGAGATGGTTAATGTCCATTTATCGTCGTGTGTAATTCAAAACTTTATTTCATAGCGGAAGTCATATCCATAAGTAATCATAGAACTTCTAAAAATTCGGTATTTATGTGAAACGTCAAAAATAGCAAGCTGGTGTTCTTTTAATCATTTCCATTAAATGACAGATGTCATTAGAATTCACATTCATTTAATTCACTTTATCTACCCTTGCTGTTAGTGATTCTTTATCTATCCAACTACTTTCATCACATTAAAGTGTAATTTTAACAGCTGTTAAAAAATAAATGATATTAATCCACTTAGTGGAAAAATAATTGAGATAAAGGTTAAAACAAATAATTTTTAATTTCCATTTGAGATACGTGTATTTCAAATTTTCAACAAATGAAAGGTGCAAAAGGAAGTCAAATTTATTTAATTTGACCTTTATTTCAATGCCTTTTTTATTACTTATTTTGAGTATATGCTAAAGGACGATTTATAAACTTGACGTAATTATTTCTTGAAGATGTAGCAACCAGTTAAAAGGTTATATAACGTGGTTGTACGACATTTCGTCTATTACGACTTTTTCAAGTACATTGTTTACAATGTTACAAAGAGTTGATGCTGTAATTTTGTTTAAGTATTGTTTAGTCTGGCCAATATACAGCATCAACTGTTGGTAAAATTTTAAACAATGTACTTCAAAAAGTCGTAAATAGACAAAACGTCGTACAACCACTTTATATAACCTTTTAACTGGCTGATACATCTTCAAGAAATAATTACATTAACACACCATGTTGACGTTGCAGTTACTGTTGCAAGGCATTTCTTGATATCAACCGTGAACGTACCCTTAGTGTAAATGTGTAAAGTGTGATAGGATTTCCTGTAGAAAAATTATGCTAATAGTTTACATTTGCCATCATCGATATTTAAAGCACTCCAACTTTGCACAAACAGAGATTGTTTTGTTTGCATTCGATTCTGCATTGGGAACGTTGAGCTCTGATATGATTTTTCCTCTTTGCCTCAAGTTGTAACGCAATTATCATTATATTTCAACTGTAATGCATTATATATTTCTACAGCAAATGATTTTACTATGATGCGAAATAAATTCGTTTTCTGAATACTTTTTTGGGCATACATGTTAAAGAGAAATGGTAATTGTAAACTATTCAGATGTAAATACGATTGCAAGATAAATACATGTACTGTGATACTTTAAATGGCACATAAAGTTCATTTAAGGTTTCACAGTTCATGTATTTACTTGTAATCTGAATTTCCAACACATAAATAGATATTTGAGTATCCCGCTTTTTCTGTATAGTTGCCCTTGCAACCGTTGGATGGCGCTTTTTACAATTCCAGTCGGTAACATGGGAGATTCTAATCTATCCGTATGTGATTTGTGTCTTAGTTTTTGCTTTCGCATCGCTCACATGCAAATGATTTTTATTGGTACGCCATTACTTTTTTGTCTTTGTGTCTACCGTAAGGGATTATTGTTTTTGGCTTTACTACATTTATCTTTGGAGTGGTTTCTCTTTATTACTTTTGATGTCTGTGGTGGCTCCATTGAATCGTTTTTACGGATCTGTTTACCGGTTTAGCTACCATTGCTTTGCGAATAGTTTTTGATGAAGTTACAGAGACTCTGACCGAAGCCGATATATTGACCAGTTTAGTATTTTTACTATGAAGTATTGGTTCATATTATCTTTTGCTCGGAGTTTTGAGTAGGTATTAATACCAGTTTTTATATCTGAGTGTCAGACGTTGCTTACGCAATTTTCATGTGCCGCGCTGTTCACTACCCCTTTTATTTGTTTGCTGTGTCGTTTTCTGTTACCGAAAAGGCTGAACGCGTCCGAACACAAAATAGAATACCGCATTTCATTACAAAGACTCGAAGTTACGTCAGGAACGTTCACAAATGACGCAAGGTCAAATAAATCTAGAGCTACGCTCTATGCAATTGATTATTGATTTTAGTAATCATATGGAACTGAGACTATAATTTCATGTTGTTCCACCAAGCTAGTACTTACCTACTAACATGTTAATAATATCTAAAATCCGGCGCTAACAATGGACGCTTTAATAGCTAGATAACACTGATAGTTAAAATTTTCTAAATTAGTCCAATTATAGCAATTTCTTCATAATTATTAAATAAGCGATTTATTAATTTATGATTACCTACTTAAAAGAATAAAAACCTAAACGTTTTGTCGTGTGACAGTCAAATCATGTCTATTTTGAAGTCTAACTTAATGCTTCGTGTTACTAAATGTAATTAAACATTCGATCTCATTGCCCTAAACATTAAAAATGTTGATGTTATATATGGACGAGTGGTTCTCCGATACGGTCCTGACTTTTTAAAAACGCGTGCAAAAGCTGACGGGCCCAGTGAGTCGGGAGATATGGCGTGGTTAATTCAAATTACAGAAAAATGTTGTTTATTTTGCAGTCTTGGTACGCAGCGTGCGAATTAATGGTCTAAGGTGAATTACTGATTCAGCGGTATTCCACATGAGTTATTGATTGGACGAAAAAATTAGTTTTGATTGGTGGACAACGTTTGTGCCACGGAATGGGTGTGAATTAAAAAGGAAAGAAGTGGGAATTAGGTTGTTGGCATGGAACCGTGCGGTAATGCACGTTAAGCCAGGATAGGGTTCGTGTCGAACAGTTAAAAAAGTTAAGTCCTTAAGTGTAACACCTTAAACAAAAGTCTATTTACGAGACAGAAAAACTATTACGATAAATACAAACAATAGCATATTTTTTTGGAAATAAGTCGTCGTAATATTCTAAAGGTAAATGAACCAAAAATAAAATTGCATGAAGTAATTCGTGGCCATCTGTAAGAGTCGATTTGCGTGCAGATACAATTTTTTAATGATATTGACGCAGGGTCACATCCCTTTGTATCTTTTTTAAATCCACTTTAAACGCGGCTTATTTTAATTCAAAATTGTTAGCATTTTCTGTCCTGGTTTTGTAACTATCGGTTATGGTAGCTAGCCACTTACAGCTGTACCTGTCGCAGGCGACCTGTCCAGTCTACCTGCCAAAATACCTCTCGATCCGCACGTACAGGTCCACTGTCCATCTCAGTTGGTTAAAAATGTTTGAAAACGGAGCAATATACTGTAGACAACTGACAGGTCGACTCAGGAATTCTTACACACTTCGGTCGAAGGGTGTAGTGCGGGAGGTGCGTAGACATACTAGGACAGATACACTTGCGACCTGTTGACTTTCACGGCAAGCGTCAGATCACTTGACAGTTACGAAAACTGACATTTTTTGCCTATATGGTATACTGGTATGGTATAAGGCTTAGACAAGGAAGGAATAGTCTAAGGTTTTTGCTCATCCATATCACAACCATCTAAGGCGGCTGTGTCCATATTCCCAGGTCGACTTGACACAGTAGATATGTCACTTTTACAAGGTGTGTGTGGAAAATATCGGGATTAGTCTCAAAGTAAAAAAAATTTTCACATTTTCGTACAGTGACCCAACATCCTCCAAAATAGGCCCCTTGAGCATCAATACAATGCTGCTAAAGGTTTTTCCAATTTTCAATGCCCCTGAAACTCTTGAATCAGAATACTGTTCGGGAATCTCGTCGCAGTCTCTTGAACCACTTGAATCGCGTCGAAACACCGTCCTTTCGATCGGCTCGGTTCAAACTTCATATAAATCGAAACGAATTCTTAAAAAGAATGCACGAGATAATTGAATTAGCAAATGGCAAATACATCCAATTTAAAGCATCCAAAATGGAAAATGCGCAAAATTATTTTTAATTTGACCTACTCGAAAATTACGGAAATAATCACAGGCTTGGAAATGATGATGCATGATTCATTTTTCGGGGTAGTCATACTAACCTGAACGCTGTAAAGTGATAATAAATTTAATAAGAAAGTTACGTTTAAAATACATAGGAACACGATCGTTTGTAGAAAATTAAATTCCGCCATTTAAGTTACTCTTTTTGTGGTACATGTAACAATCACCAAGCGCAACTTAAATTGGCATTTGGCGGCGGTAATCGGCATATTTAACTTCTGCAATTCAACGACTGATTGTTTTATCCGAACCATTAACTTTATACAAAAAGCTCCAGTAAAAGCGTTCCCTTCTGTTCGTAAAGATAAGCGGTCATTATTTTCGTATCAACAAGGTTTAGTAATTTAATAACCCACTCTTGGCTCGTGTACAGATACTTGCTGTTCCATTTCGCATTAACATTGTAGCAATTTAAGATTCAATAAAAAGTACTCGCTCGCGTTCTAATCTTTCCTTTTTGAAAGAGGTTAATGCGAAAATGTCAGCAGAAAACGCTATTAACTTAAAGGAAGCCGAATTACACATTAAGAACTAAAAATCCAGTAGAACTGATACGGAACGATCAGAAAATTTCATTTAAATATCTTGACAAATAAAAAATTTGATTGCGCATGCGCCACGAATTTTAGAACTAGCTCCACCCTCAAGTAGTTTGGGAGCAATTTTCATAACTTTTTTTGGCCAAGTGCTGTTAAAGTGTTGTCGATAATTTAATTTTTCTGAGTGTAAAGAGTGGCAGGGGAGCAAGATTTATAATTTTGGCTCTAGATCAGCAGGACACAAAACGCCAAACCTCATTTTAAAAAACGGAATAATGGTGCTAGAAAAAGTTGCAATCTTGTATACTTACCTATGTATACAAACCGAGTGAACGCTGGTTTCGCGGGGGGTTCGTTTCAGAAATTTCAATCGACGAATAGACTAGCAAGTATTTGGTGGGAAAGCGGGATTCTTAACCGAACATTCAGAGCAACGCCACGTTAGTTGTTGGCGCCAATTTTGCATTGGGTAGACTTAATTTGTGGGTGAACCGTGAAAGCGAAACGATGCAAGTTACATGCGGCAATTTTAGATGGCGAAAAGTTTATATTAAATTTAAAGTTAAACGAGTTCGTGTCATACAAGGATACGAAAGAAATATTAATCGCGGTATTGTAGTGAAACGTTACTGAAAAAGGTTAAACGTTACAGAGGTCAGTTACCGGTACATGTTAAAACCAGTATAAAGTAGGCACATGTGTGCGAAAAAACTGCATTGCGTGAAAGAGACGATCTGACTCAACCGCAAATATACCAGTATAACGAAGCCTTACCGTATTAATATGTAAGCGAACATGTTTAGTTTTGGTGCATTGATGGATTAAGTTTACATAAGTTGTTACCACGAACGCGCTAGAGTCCAAGGTGCAAAACTTTCCGTTGCGCCAAGTTTGTAGTGGCAAGATACCTAAAAAACCAATTTATTAATCGAAGTTGTACATCCAATTTATGTATATGAAGTGCAAAAAAAATTATGAGCAAAACGGCTACCGGTAAAAAGGTTAAAGACAATTAATTCCAGCTTCTGTTTGTTGTTAAAAAAAGTTAGAAAGGTACAGGTTTTTTTGCCATTTACAAACTGCAGAACATTGGTAATTTACTACTGTGAATAACTCAAAGTTCAACTCATTAAATGAAAGTAAGTAGAGTTTATTCCTGAATCAAAATGCGTCAACCATCTTTCGAAATCAACAAACAACCCAATTCAACTGGTAATGGTAATATAAGAGGCGGGCCCGTAGCCAGAGGGTGGCCAGGTGGAGCTGCGCCCCACCTAGAACGTGGTCTTGTCCCCACTGGAAATTACGGTTAATGGTGCCTTTACAAAAATTACAGGGGAGCTATTTATCAAAAACTTCTTAAGCCACCCCTAAAAAAATACCGGCCACCCCTGTTACTTCATTCTGGCTACGGACCTGATAAGAGGTCCGATCGTATTGAATAAAGTGTTCCGCGATCTAATTTTCCAAATTGCTGCTGCCTTACTAAATGAGAAATCGAACTGACAATGGGGTCATCCCGCCTTCATTTTTTATTTCTGATCCACAAAGTACATTAAAAATAAAAAGACCCGTGTGTCCTCAATTTTTATTTGCGAGTAAAATAAACCCAAAATAAATTATTGAAAAGCTGTGTTTTTAGTTCCGAATTTGAAACGCTTCAGACTAAATACGTCACAAACCTACAACCAATCACGTAGAAGTGAGCTGGCAACCTTACGCGAGGGTCTGACGTTTGTCAAATTTTGACGTTTTGAGAGGGATGTTTAACTGCATCTAGCACGAAAGTGACAAGTGCCTGTGACAGATGATGCAAGTTATAAATGCCATTCTCCTGCAATATTGCCAAGTCGTTATGTCATCTGAATGGTTCAAGGAGCTGATTGGTCGGGCTTATTACGTCACAGAGCCCGCCACAATCATATCGTTTTGAATAAACCTTTAAAATCGCACATGTTCATTATTTTCTTGCTAATCAGCCTCTATTTTTAAATAAACTTTTACTGTCCAAAAAAATGTTTTATGGTTTCAGGTACACGCTTATTAAATTAGAACTGCGGAATTCAACTATACTGTAAACCCCCATTGGAGAACATTTCTACGCATCGATAAAAGTAAGTTTTATTTGAATTGAGCCGGACGGCATCAACCATCCAATCCAATTCCAAAATAAATCGATACAATCATATATACAGTGTGTAAAACGATGGGGTATACAAGAGGAAATTTTTTTAAATATTGATTTATGGAAAAAAATTATTCTTCATGATATAGTTTGCTTGCTTTGAAAGTATCAATAACGTAGTAACGATTTTCATTGCCCATCACGGTTTAGCACAGTGTCCGATAAAACGGTTTTCGCTATGAAGGATGTACTGTTATGGTCTATTTATATCGCTAGGTTAGCGATTAAATTGAATAAGTTAAAAAGAAATCGTAAACGATTTACAAAAAGCGCATTTCCACTTGTATTCATTTCCCATTTGTAAGATGCAACTTCTGTTAAAATCGTAAAAATCCGCCCACAAATCAGAAAGATAGCGTTGCACATGTGCAATCCATTTTTTACGTGCTACTTCAATTTCTGTTTATAAGAAGAATTTCATTTCAATGCTTTTCTAAATAAGAAAGTTGAAACTGCGCATGTGCAAATCTAAATTTTGAAACTGGTGTTAGATTTTCCCTTATTCCAAGCACCTATGTATTCAATTTCATTTAAATGCTTCCATAAATAAGAAAGTTGGCACTGCGCATGCGCAAAACCAAATTTTGAAACTGGCGTTAGATTTTCATTTATTCCAAGTGCCTATGTATCAAATTTCATTCAATTATTTCTATAAATAAAAAAGTTTGCAATTCGGTTTATAAATGGTCGAGATGCGAAAAAGGCACTGTGAATTTTGAATCGATTCGACTCAACTTTTGACATTGCGTATTATATGGCTAAAGCTATGCCCATGCTGAATTTCATGCAATTCAGTTCATAACTAACGGAGATCTAAAAGCGATCAGACATTTCTAAACAAAATTATCGTTCACACGGACAGATAGAGGGACAGGCAGACAAAGGAACAGACGGACAGACCAACAGACAGACGACAGACAGCAATACAAAATTATAAACGATCTCTCGGATCGTTAATACGGCAAAAGTGTAAAATTATGGAACATGTAAAAAACGGTTTTTTGGTTTTTTTACAATAACTTTTTTATCAATAAACGCAGAAAAAATTCCTTTCTTGGTGCAAGCCTCGATACCATAACGAACCAAATAGCGAAAAAGTACTCTTAAGATAAAGAACTAGTAGCGTCTCAACGAACGATCGGACGGACGGACAGCCGGACGGACGAACGGACGGACAAAGTGGATACAATAGCGCATTTTTTTTTGTGGAAATACGCTAAAAAGTCGCGAACACGAGAAAGAAAATGGAGCCGCCAGTGGTTGCTGAAGAAAAGGGCATTTTCCCATATAGGATTGCGAAATGAACTGACGGAATTATTTAATAATGGATGAAGAGACATATGTTAAGTTGTTAAGATTAGTTTCCGTTTATTGTAAAGAAAATCTGAAACTGAGTACACATTCCAGCTTATCGCTGCGATTCGCAGAAATTAATGCCGGGCGGCATCAACCACCCAATCAAATTCCAATAAATTGCTACATTCATCTGTACACACGCGACGATAAATTGTGACAATTCGATCGTAACAATACATTTTTATGTACAATATGTCGTAGTGTGTAAACCAGGCATTCATGCATGCTTGTACTACAAATTGCCTACTTTCAGGGTTGCACTGATCTACATTACATCGCAAAATAAAATGTGCAAAATAACATATCGCATGGATATTTTGTTTTCGACTATTACGGTGGATATTTCTCAAAAACAAAGTGTTGTATTTCGTCACATTGTAATTGTAACACCCTGTATGATACAGTTCATTCAAACAATAGATGGCGCAAGTCTCGTTCCAAGAGTGACGTAAGTTCAAAGTTTAAATTTTGTTTGATTACCGATCCGTTTAACGGTTTTCTTGGTGCTCTGGTTCTGGTACATTTAACAAATAATTTTCGTTATGAGCAGTTACACGTACGATGTGCCCGAATTGTCTGATTTTACAGATAACATCTCTAGCGAAAACTACGCGGAAATCGAGTCTTACTTTGGTATGAAGGTGTATGTAAATTTATATTTGGTTATATGAAAGCAAACTCTTTCAGATATAAGTCATGAGGATTGCAATGGAGCAGTTCTTACCCAAGTTTTTACAGTTGACGCACACAATAGCTTATCTGATGATAGTGAAGGTTGATATAAAAGTGAAATTGTTGTTTACTGTTTAAATTATTTTAGGTTCCGATGTTAGAGATCCATTACATACTTCATTGAGGAGATCATCGAGCGTTGGTGATTTGCAAACATTCGTGAGGAATCGCACACAGTAAGTCATATAAATTTACGGTTCCTAATTTACCTTGACATTTGAAGGATTAACGAACACCAAAGTCATCTGTTGAAAGATGCAGTTGGCACCTCTTTCTGCCAGTCGAATTCTACAATATCCCTATTGCAGTCCAAGAAATTTGTCAGCGTTGCAGAAGCAATAAGCACTTTTCACAATAAGACTCCCGACCGTTTCCACTCGAGGTCTCGTATGTTAAAACCCAGTTTTGCATCCGGAGCTGCCGTAAAGCAATGTACTGTTCCGGCGTCTCCATTTTTGGCAACAAAACAACGAGCACGACCAACCACTGTACTATCGCACGATGAAAAAGAAATTAAAGAGGCGGAAGAAATGCACAAATTTAAAATCAAGGCGAATCCGCTTAATCCGAAGATTTTGGCCCGTCCCTCAACCCCCAAAGTCGGTCCAGTGAGAAAGTCTACGGTCCCTCAACCGTTTAACATTACGCAGGCTCCTAAAAGGAAACCCGTAACACCAGTTCCAATTGTTCCCACGTTTCACGCACAGCCGATGCCAAAGTTCTTACCTAGAGGTCCGTTGGTTAAACCACAAACACCCATCATTGTGAAGCGGGATGTAGAGAAGAAATGTGAAGTGAAACTCAAAAAATCAGAAGAAATTAAGCTTAAAAATACTGTACCTTTGCCATTTAGCTTTTTAGAACGTGATAAAGATCTGCTACGGAAAAAAGATGATGCTTTGAAAAAGTTGTTCGAGAGTGAAAAGCGCAATCGGGAATTTCACGCTAACCCTCTTCCCAAGTATTTATCTTCAGCTGATGGTGCGAATTCAACAATGTTTAAACGAAACATGAGCGTTAACGTCTCAAAGGTATATCAGTATTATTGTTAACATTTATTGAAATACATTTTTCTAGCATTCAAGCACTGAAAGTTTGGTGCAGCCCATTTTTAAGGCGAAACCCGCTAAGGTGTTAAATATGAAGCCCTTTGAGCCCAAAAAAGAGGAACGACTTGTATTGGAAGTGGCCGAGTTTCGTCTAAATACCGACTTACGAGCCAAAGAACGAGAAGCATTTCAGTCTAAACTTAAAGAAAAGGAGCATCTACTTCATGAGTACATCAAAAGGGTAATTTCTTCAATTTGTTTTAATGGTAGTTGTCCTTTACCACAGATACAATATATAAAGTAATATACAGGGTGTTACATACATAATAGAGGGGATCAAAACAAGCACTTTCCCAAATAAACTGAGAGTCTATCGTGTTTTGTTTGGGACCCTTAAAAAAGTGGTGAAATTTGTTTTTCTTTTTTATTTTTTCTCAGAAACATAAGAGTTAAGAAGACAACACTACCCCGAAATGGAGGTGCGAAAATAATTCTGATTTGGACGAAATTTTGTATCTAAAGGTTTCTGAAATAACGAATCTGAAACTTGTGTTTGAAAATTTGAAAAAAAATTGTTGAACAGTTTTTGAAAATCACTTTTCAAACAAAAGATAACTCGTTTGAAAATTGGTCCTTCGAGTCAGAGTTAAGAGCGCAAAAGTGCACTAATATAATATATAAAAATTATTATTTATGATTACTATATTTATTGTTGTTGAACTCCACTTAAAAAATTTACTGTAATTGAACTTTTTGTAGAAAGAAGAGGAAAATCACCAAAAAGAGGCAGAAGAGGTTCGAAGATTGAGAAAGCAAACCGAATATCGAGCCCAACCTATTAGAAAGTACAAAGAGGTCGCCGAAGTTGAGCATAAAAAGTTAACCATACCTGTCAGTCCAAAGTTCAATAGGAACCATAGCAACAAAGAGAATTTGTCATCATAATTACATATAAATGTTTATTGTTCAATGTAATTGTTTTTACAGAATAGAAAGTCACAAGCTAGACATTTACCCCATAATGTTGACGTTCTTGTACGGAATCTAATATACAGTTTTACCGATTGTCTTGACAATTGCTGGCTATTTTGTTAGTATTTTATTGTAATTATTGTATTTATCATTTAATTAAAAATCTTAGAACTGTACGTACCTATACATGGCTGTTGCTGTGCTGGTAGTCTCACCCTTTAGTCAGTATCGTTTGAGCCATCCTGTAAGAAAACAACTGATAGTCCCATCCTTTCTAACTAGGTCATCCGGTATGCGAATAAGTATATCTTGTGCAGATAAGGGGCGTGTTTTTAAACTGAAACTAGTTTTGTAACTAATTGAGATACATAATTTATAATTATAAGTAGTAGTATGCAAACTTTATTGTTGTTTAGCTTCTTGGTAGATGAGTAATGGGGATAGGGCCCTTTACACATTAACATTGAAAGGCCGCCTGGCACACGTTCAGAATCTACGCTATACACTGTGTCGAAGATAAGGCTGTCTATTATGGGGATCTTGGAAACCTTATAGAAGATGCTAAGATGGGCAAATTAGGGAAAAGTTGCGCAATTAAAGAGTTATGCTGTAAAGAAAACCAAAAAATTTCAATTACTATGCCAGAAAAACTGTAATTTGCCGATTTTGTTTATATTTTCCTGATGTAGGTTGAGTTGGGGATGAAGCCATGAGTGGGAATAAATGAAAATCGGTGTCGCCCCCTAGCTACCCGTATGTTTTGTGAAAACCTTATGACGTTTTAGATGCGCCACCCTGTATATATTCATTTCTTTCATAAAATTGTTTACCAGTTTCTGCCTTTTTGTGTTCATCCTTTGTTGACTAATATACCGTATAGTATAACAATTTAATTTATAAAAAGTTTATAAATTCAATGGTATAATGAAGACAATAAATGTGTGTAAACAAATATAACAAACGAGCTCCACATGCGCAAAACCTAATTTTGAAACTGGCGGTTTGCTTTTATTCTCAACTTTTGACCTTGCGTATTATATGGCTAACGCTATCCTGATATTGAATTTCTTGTAGTTCGGTGCATAACCAGCGGAGATGTCAAAAGGGCTCTCCTTGTTTTTTGGCCTACATTGCCATTTGAGGCACTGTGATCTGCAAGTTTGATAAAATCCACCTACAAAGTTGTATCGTAATTGGTCCACTCGTCCTTGAGATATCGTGCTGACGGACACAGCAAAATCATAGACTCGCTAGGAGCTCATTTAACATCATCGACAGAAGTAATGATAATAGGAGGCCACTTAGGCAACTAAGAGGTTCCACCCTGTATATACCACCTACGATGCACACATTTTTGAGAGCTGGCAACCACACAATTTTTAGAAGGCCCTTGGATTATTTAGGCAAAGGTGGAGGTGTTGAATGCGTTTTCCAAAATCTCAAAGTCGTAATCCCCCCCCTGCTCATGACCATTTCATGTATGGCAAAAAAAGTCAGCGTGTAAACTTTGCCATTAAAGAGATTGATTTATACCGGTTATTATATGTATCACTTACTTGTACTTGTACTGAAATTTATAACGCGAGCGCAAATTTCACTATTTATCACTTCGGCTTCGATCTTGGAACTTTTATTAAACAAACTTCCATTTGGTTATATAGTAAACGAAACGCTTCTATAGAATTCTAGAGTCAGCATATCATATTTCCTGGAAAGTACACGTCATATCCGCTTTCAGTCCATATCACCTGTGCCTAATCCTTTATCGACTTGCTGGCCGAAAATAAAATCTTGTCTTGGGAATTACGTTCAGCGTTGTAAAATTTGCAAGAGGGTTGAAAAATGTGTGAGGAAAGCCATAGCTGAATCTACTGCTGAAGAAAAAGACAGGCAGTTAACAGAGGTTAAAGTTAAACGAACGCGTAACCTAAAAAGAAGTTTCAATTGAACCTAAAAATATGTTTATGCAAAAGAATACTTCAATTTTGTGCATTATTTTTTACGTATAATAAATTTATTTTTGAATAATAATTTTATTTATGTATGTTAGGTACCCTTTCTAAGCCGAAAAACAAACTGGGACCGGAACTGAACATTTCTAGTCACAGAACCTGAATCGGTACCGGAACCCTTAAAAAATAATTATACCTAAGTAGTGCGGAACCGGAACCTATATTCCATATATGGGTTCCAACAATAATATCAGTTGGAGTTTGTATTTTTTCCAAATTCTGATTACGAAGTTTTGATTATTATCATTAAATAAAGAAGATTTATTATTCAATGTTATTAGTAATGAGATTATCAGTGAAAAAATCTTTTGAATTCTTACCTATTCTTAACCCTTTTTTTTAAATCTGAGCTAGCATGGAAAGTAAGAATACGAAAGGTATGTCAAAACATACTACAACGAAAAAAGAAGACGAAGCAAATTGATGTACCAAGAAGTACCTGAGAATATTACCAAACTTTTGTAGTGTCCATGGCATCACAGATTATTGAAAAAGATGGGGGTTTATTTTTCCAATTTTCCGTCTTTATTATGAAAAACATTGAAAACCAATACGTTTAATTGACGTAACAAATTTTTTTCTACAAAAAACCATAAATACATTTTTGCTCTAAAATAATTTGGGGAGCCAATAATCGCATGTTATGAATTTTTTACATTGAAATCCCTATGATGCGTTACGCAAGTCACCACCCTGTATAGAGCGACAATGTGATCTTACGGTGGTATTATTTTCTACCGGTACTTGGAAGATCCGCCATGTTTTGACCAAATACACGGGATTGGTAGAAATAAACCTGGAAACTGAGGCGATGAACTTACCTTGCTCAACACAATTCTGGCAGCATTATTGTAACCATAGCAAAATCTAGTAGGTAATTTGGTTGAACCAATCAGCTCAATGATAAATTGGAATAAACATGACCGACATCATAGAGTAATTACTCTATGCCGACATGAAGCATTATGGCCACATTGTCTTTATACATCAGTCACTGTACTCTATACAAGATAGTAGCGACAATAGGTGTCTCATTTTTTATTGGTTGCTGAATCACGTGGTATGCGGCAGCCATTTTGTGGCAAACATTCAAACTACTATTATAGGTACCTATTTACTTATGTCATGTCATGTACAGTGACAGTCACTGTAATGTCATGTATTCTTGGTTGTTTTCTTATATAGGTAGTCTAGGTGTCGAATGCCTAATAATAGGGTAACCTCGTTTTGATGTATGAATGAAATGTTTTTACTGTTTTTGAATGCTTATGTCACGTAGATTTTTTATCCGATTGATGCCACTCTGCCCAGGCTTAAGCAATTCGAGTAATTCAAGATGGCGTACAAAGGTGGGGCTCAAAATATTGAAAATTTTATTTCGACACGGTATTATCATGTGACATATCATTTATATGTTTTTTAGGCAGTGGCGGATCCAGAAAAACTTTTTGAGGTGAGCGCCTTTGTAAATATAAAACTTTTAACTTCGCGTGCAAGGAGGCTCCATCACTCTATAACGGTTACGGAGAATAGATTGTACAATAGTGGTAGCGCACATTTTTAGAAAGTGGGGAATGTATAGGTACTAATGGAAATACTGTAAATTAAGTTGTCTTTAACATTTAAAAGGGTGCTATTTGCCTTTTACCCAAGCCTTTTTGGGCTTGTCGGAGGGGCTAATTGCCCCCTTTGCCGCTTATACTAAATCCGTCACTGTTTTTAGGTCAAGGAATCAAATATTTTTTTGTGAAAACTTAATGTAAGGGTGACTTTTTCTTAAGTAGGTTGGAAAATGCAACTTGAAGCTGAACTGGGACTTTTTTTAAGGAACTTTACTAGTAAATAGTTTGTGGGATGTCCACAAAGTCGATTCAATGCGCGTCCTGCTTAAGAGGGCCCTGCCTTAGATGTTTGATCACGTACCACTTTTAGATTTCAAATTTAAGCGGGTGGTATGCTCCCCTTTGTATTTACCCGCGTGGAGCAGCAGCTCTACCTCGAGTTAAGCTTTATTTCAGTCTGACAACCCTAGTAACCAAGCACGTAAAGACCATGGTGAGACAGCCGCCATATCTTATTAGCATCGTTTAATTGTCGTGGGTTCGTCTTAGATCGTTTAAATGACCTACCGATTTTCTCCTCTATGTCGTTGAAAAGGTACCCCTGTTCGGTCATTAGCGAGACGACATAGCAGATAAAACGACACCAATCTTTATCAACTTCAAAGGTGAACAATTAACTAAAATATTCAAATGCTTTTACATAAACTTCCTATTTCTTGCGTTTCGGTCTTTCCCAATTCTCGAAAATTCCCATAAAAAATTCATCAGTTACGCCATCTGCTAATGGATACATGTACCTCTTGTTCTCTTCGGCTATTCTCTTCGCCTCTTCTAACTTTAACAATTCCAATCTTTCCTTTTCGAGCCTCTTCTTCTCTTCGGTCGACATCGCCGGCGCCTTCTTTTGTGGCGGCTTTTTTTCCTTGGCCGCCTTCTTTGGCTTCTGTGGCTTCTCCCGTTTGACTTTCTCTTGTTTTACCTTTACGGGCTTGGGCTTTTCGATTTTGGGCTTTACAAACGGTACTCTATTCCTTTTGGGAATTTGCCATTCGGTGTTCGCCGCTTGAGTTATTACCTCCGGTGTGGCCTGAAGTGCTAGTTTCACCAACGAAAACTGAAAACCTTCGTAGAAACTTTTAAACGGGGTGTAATGGGATACGTAAAAACCGCTTACTATTTAAACACAAGTTCGATAATCGCCCACAGTATGCCAAAATTTAAAGTGGCGCGATTCTCAAACTGTTCTATTTCAGCTTTCCTGTTCTTCAAAGTTATGTCAATCCACTCATCATCGCTTCCAGTATTAGACGAACTGCTTTCATTCGCCGCTATTTCCGTGACGTTACTTTCGTTGACATCATACTGCACCCATCCTTTTTTAGGGTCGTCCATGTCCAACAATCTCTGCTCCCACATTTTCTGTACCATTAATCCTTTCAGAATTTCTTCATCAGTTAACTGCTTCACCTTTTCTTCACTTTTCTCGCGACTGATGGAGTCGATCCTTGTTGGAACTGTCTGAGATGAAACCCCGCTAGGTGTATCAGTACCCGAAACAATTTCGTACTTATCTATGAGTAGATCAATGAGAGTTCAACAACAAAATCGTTTACCTGCAACTTGGTAAATTTCAAACTTATCTTCAGCGGCGTTGGTTAACTGGCTCGACGGTTCCGTGCTTTTGTTTGATTGCTCAGACACCTCACCATCTACTTCAGTGAAAAGAGGTAAAAATCTAGCAGGCAGATCGGAATCAACGGTATAAAGTGGTGTGCTGATCTGCTCGTCGTCTTCCTCAGCCTCGCTTATTTGAGACTGTGAGTCTGTTTCAGTAAGTGACTTGATGGACGACAAGTCATCTAAAATCGTGGATTAGCAGTAAATGATGTGGAACGGCGTACGGTTCATTACAATCCGCGCACGTGCACATTTCTTTAGGCAATTCATATCTGCAAGTTCCATTAGGTTTGGCAATTTCAATGTAGCTTACATTTCTCGTGCTCATATCCTTGTCAAACGAGCTTGTGGAGCACATATCTGATGCACTGGAATGTAATTGATCGCTATCTGGAAGTAGCTCAAATACTTCGCCAGGTGGCGGTATTGACTCGCATCCCTCTTCCACAATTTCTGCTGCTACTAAGATCGCTTCTTTGAAAATTCCAAAAAACTTCCTATGCGTTAAATTCTTCCTAGAATCTGCGCACTTTTAGACCGTGCGAATTATACACACTTACTTCTCAACAGGTCCATAAAATACAAGAACCACTCAAGGACAATTTTCTGCGTTTGGTGCGGTAACCGACAATCATCTTGCAAGAACCAGACACAGTCGGTGATGACGTCCAAGAACCAAAACTGAACCAAATTGGTCTCGTAGTCCTTGCACTTGAAAAAGTTCCCAAAATACTCGATGCAGTATTTAATACCCTTTTCGCGAACGTAAGGTATATCCAGTTTGTCGAGCTTGGGAAAAGACGGTAGGGTGGTGATGGTTGTGTCAAACTCGTATTCGGAATTGGGTGTATGGGGAGGTACAACACTTCGGGATTTTATTGATTTTGGAGGGGCATTTTGAAGGGATAAAGCAACTTCACTTAAAAAATGATAGTCCAACGAACCATTGGGGTTGTATTCGGCACGTTCACCTTCGCTTTCGTTTTGGGACAACATTCCACAGTTTTAAATTTGACAAGGGTGATGATATGACAAATAGCAGACCACTTGACTCCGATCATAAACAGTTTTCAGTTTATGGCCCTATTTTGCAATATCCTCCTTATCCAGTCAAACCTGCGTGGTAATGCGAGAAAGGAAGCGGGACGGGCGCAGGATATATTTCGACAGCGGGATATGCAAGTGCGGCGATTTGCACGCATATCTCGCTGTATGCGTCCCGCTTGCGTTTCCGCATTCCCACGTCAGTTTGAGTACCTAGACCTATATTGCAGATATCGCAAATAGGGACATAATCTGAAAACTGTTTATGATCCGATCTTTGCACGTGATTCTGTATTTTTGGTAAGTTTGCAACCATCAAAGACTTTCCTAGACGGAGTGTGCGCAAGTGAGAACTTAAAATTCAAGGGCAAAGTTTATTGATCTCATTTGCTCTTAATTTGAAAAAATAGCCAAGAGTGGAAGCTTGCAAGTGGAACAAGTATAAATTGTGCACAACTCTTGTGCAAATAAAGCGCATTTTTTAAACCGAAATAGCTTTTGTTTTGACATCACCAATGGATATATTTCTTGCAGACGTTTCAATCGCCCTTTGTGAGTACCCTCTTCCGACAATCCGCTCTTGAGGTATAAGGGAATATACCCGATCACGATACGAGGTCGAGGTGGAGCGCTATGGTTGGTAGAAATTAATTCCTTTCGTTGAGACCTTTCATTAGAGTACCATGAAAGATGAAACTAGTTCCACCCCCCTCACCCTCCAGCCCGTACTTTGATTAGAGGGCAGAAAGAAGGGCAGTAGTTGGTAGAAAACGGTTTCTTTCGTTGAGACTTTTCATTAGAGTACCATGAAGGATAAAACTAGTTCCACACCCCCCCCCCTCTACCTCCACCCCGTACTTTGGATAAGAGGACAAGAAAGAAGGGCAGTAGTTGGTAGAAAAACTGTTCCTTTCGTTCGTTGAGACCTTTAACTAGAATACAATGAGAGATAAAATTAATTTTTAACCCCCCCCCCCCCTCAGGCCCCGTCGCTCACTGCTCTCGGAAAAAAGTTCGCACGGGAAAGTTATAGTTTGTACAAACCAATTTATTTCGATGAGGCTTTTCATTAGAATACCATGAAGGGTAGAACATGTGTTTACCCCCCCCCCCCTCCATTTTCTAAGTTCAAGTTTAACTTGGCACCATTAAAGGCACGCGCTTGCAAAATCGGAGATCAACTGGTTGTCGTATGTAAAGGTTTTGCACGTTTTACTTTCAAAAACAGCATCTCGGGAAATAATTCGTGGGAGGGTCCCCCTTTTAGACAGCGAAATTTAATGGCCGTCTGGCACACCTTCAAGGTATAGACTACCTACTGCAAAAATTCCAGAACTCTAGGACCATTCCCCTAGAAGTAGTTCAAAACGGTACAAGTGGTACAATAGCACATTTTTTAATTCTTAAAAAATGCGCTAAAAATTTTGGGAACCGAGGGAACCTTTTTCCTTTGACATATGCCACCTACCGTCCGCCCGTGTGAAAATTGCTTTACCTAATCTTGGCATTTGGCCCAGCGTTGGCAGTCAACCGGCGGGAGATCATATGTGGGACCGTGGGAACTTTTAGGTCGCCAGTTCATCAAGAAAAGTTCATTAGGCAGAGTCACCAGCAAGAGTGCATATAGAAGAGTCCACATGAAAGAGTGCATTAGGAAGAGTTCCCGAAGGAGCAGTCATCAGAAAGTGTTCATCGGGAAGAGTTCATCAGGAAGTGTGTGCATGGAAGCGTCCACATGGAAGAGAGTAAATTGAAGAGTTAGTCAGAAAGCGTTCATCAGGAAAAGTTTACTAAGAAGATTTCATCATGAAGAGTTCATGAGGAAGAGTGCATCAGGAGAAGCTCATCGGGAAGAGTTCATCAAAAAGAGTTCATGAGGAAGAATTCATCAGGAAGAGTTCATCAGGAAGTTTATCAGAAAGAGTTCATCAGAAAAATTCATCAGGAAGAGTTCATCAGGAAGAGTCACTTGGAAGAGTTCATCACGAAGAATTCATCAGGAAGAGAATATCAGGAAGAGTTCATCAGGAAGAGTTCATCAGGAAGAGTTCATAAGGAAGAGTTCATCAGGAATAGTTCATCAGGAAGAGTAAGTCAGGAAGTTCATCAGGAAGAATTCATCAGAAAGAGTACATCAGGTAAAGTTCATCAGAAAGAGTAAATCAGGAAGAGTTCAGTAGGAAAAACATCTGGAAAAGTTCCTCAGGAAGAGTTAATTAAGAAAAGTTCATCAGGAACAGATAATTAGGAAGGGTTCTTAAGGTAGAGCTGAGCAGGAAGAGTTCATCAAAGAATAGTTCATGAGGAAGGGTTTATGAGGAAGAGTTCATACGGATCAGTTCATCAGCAAAAATTCATCAAAAAAAGTTCATCAGGAAGAGTTCATAAGGAAGAGTTCATCAGGAATAGTTCATCAGGAAGAGTAAGTCAGGAAGTTCATCAGGAAGAATTCATCAGAAAGAGTACATCAGGTAAAGTTCATCAGAAAGAGTAAATCAGGAAGAGTTCAGTAGGAAAAACTCATCTGGAAAAGTTCATCAGGAACAGATAATCAGGAAGGGTTCTTAAGGTAGAGTTCAGCAGGAAGAGTTCATCAAAGAATAGTTCATGAGGAAGGGTTTATGAGGAAGAGTTCATACGGATCAGTTCATCAGCAAAAATTCATCAAAAAAAGTTCATCTGGAAGAGTTCATCAAGAAGAGTTCATCAGGAAGAGTGCATCAGGTAGAGTTCATCAGGAAGAATTCCTCAGAAACAGTTCATCAGAAATTCATCAAGTCCATGGGGAAGAATTCATCAGGAATAGTTCATCAGGAAGAGTTCATAAAGGAGGGTTTATCAGGAAGAGGAGTTTATCAAGAACAGTTCATCAGGAAGAGTTTATCCGGAAGAGGGTATCAGGAAGAGTTCGTCAGGAAAATTCATAAGAAATTCATCAGGAAGAGTTCTTCAAGACGAGATCTTCAGGAAGGGTTTATCAGGGAAAGTTATTCAAGAAGAGTTCTTTAGGAGGAGAGTTCATCAAGGAAGGTTTATCAGAAAGAGAAGAGTTTATCAAGAAGAGTGCATCAGGAGTTCATCGAATTCATCAGGAAGATCAGGAAGAGTTCAGGAAGAGTTCTTCAGGAAGAGTTCATCAGGAGAGTTCGTCGCCACGGGCTTGGTGCGCACCCAGTACGAAGTGCGAACCAAGCACGAGGTGCGCGCAATGGACGAAGTGCGTAGCAAGCACGTGGGACGCATCAAGAACTAAGTACGCACCGAGCACGAGATGCGCAAGGATGGAAGAAGCAAACCAATATCGGGGTACCTAATTGGAAATTTGAAAAATACGGTAATGAAAATAATTATAAAAGATATTGGAGAATTTATTAGGATAACAGGAGATACAACAGAAATAGGTAATTTTATTACAGTGCACTGAGCAGCTAATAAAAATCAATACTACCAAAAGGCAAGAACAAAGTGAAGATAGGGAGATTATTGACAACGTGATAAGATTCACAAGTAAAAAAGGCTCGGGTTTTTAGGGTTTTTAGGGATAGAACAGGAGTAAGATGAGGGTAGGCAGGTACAATTTAATAAGGAATTACCTTAGACCAGTTTCGAGCATTCTGCCGGTTACTACGAATTACGTTTTCCTGCAGTTTTCCTAATTCTTAAGGTAAATACCTGTAGTCTGTAGAGGCACCTCTAAAAAGCATTATATGGGTCACTCTGTAATTGGGCGCAGGCCTGTTGAGGGCCCAGAATAAGAGAGGGAAAATAAATAAATATAAAAACACAAAGTAAATAAACCAACAAAGTGCCGGAGAGCCAAAATAGAGATGGGTCAAGGGTGACGTTCAGCAATGTGACGTGACATTGGGCAACTAGGTGAGTTACACAGTAGAATATACACTGTGTCCATTTAAGTTCGCAGCATTGGTGTGTAAAATCATCATCAAAATGCTGCAACCTATAATTTGGAAAACTTAAAGGTTATCAAAACAGTTATGTTTATTAGATATTAGTTTACAATTTTAGATAAATTTGCTTGATAACAATTTTTATTAAATATTAATAACAAATAGGTAGGTATGTACCTAAAGGTATTATACTCTTGAACAAAATTCGTATTGACATACCCCGTATACGACAGTTGCAGTTGAAGTTTCAGACCATGCAAATTGTTTTATGAAAGATCTTAACAATTAAAAAACGCTGCGAACTTAAGTGGACACACTGTATGTTGCTATTGGTAGTTAGTGACTGACTTGTGCCAAGATTTGTGGATTTTGTTCTCGCATTAAATGCAAAACTGTATCGTCCTCATATTACCTAATTCATTAAATATGACGCATACCGACCCCCGACAACCATTGGTATAAAATTAAAAAAGTTTCTTTAATCCTCCAAAGAAAAGTTTGTTATTTTAAATGTCTTTGCCTCGGTCTTTGCTATGCAATGTCTTATGTCAGACGTGATTAATTGAAAAACATAACTTAGGTCGTCAGCGTCATTACTTTTGTACCGTATACCCAGAAATGCTTGATACCTACCTTCAAAACACATACATGCGCCATTTAAATATATCTGAACAGATTGACTTCTGCGGCTTAAATAAATACCTACCTACCTACTCCCACTTCTTGTAAAATGTGAATATTTTTAAGTGCGCGTACGCCCTTTAAAACAATCGGTGGTTTTTCTAAAATACGCGGGTTCATTTAAATGTCACTTGTTTCTTCATTCACAGTGCAAAGTACTCGTAAGTATTTTGAATTGTGTAAAATAAACAGAGCTTCAAAAAGATGCCAAGCACATAGCTAGTGTAATTGCAGCCGTCACAAACTAAATATTTGAGTGCGTTGTGTGATAAAAACTGTTAGATATGGAACCCCTTGATATACCGCCACCGCTACCACCAAGAATACCAATAAGCAGACCATCCAGTTTAATCCTGGCTGATCAGAAAGTCGAACAGGACTGCGAAGTTACCTCCAAGAAGTCCAGAAACATTCCAAAATTGTCGAAGAAACGAGCATATCGTTACACTCGTAAACAATTCGCCGTTGTAAAGGGTGGTATAAAGGGAATCGCACAAACAGGCCTGAGCTTTGGGGAGAAATTCACCTACGGACTGTACGAAAAATTCGGTTCCTGGAGTCATATGTGGTTCACTCATTGCTTTCTAACATTTATATTAATTATTTACACAGTTGGAGGAGCTCTAGTGTTTGTGTCAATTGAAGGTAAGCCAAAAGTTTATAACTTTAGCTAATCGAACGAGACAAAAGCCGGTAAGCCGTATAAGTTTTTCGTCGCCTCATTTACACGTCTGCTATATTTTTGTTACGTGCCAATTCCCATATATTTTGGGGATTAATAAAACTGGCAGACGACAAATTTATTGTCTACATTTGTAACCTGGGATTATGAAAGAATACGCAATAGATTTCAATGTAATTGAATTATCAGTTGGTTGATCTAATCCTTTTCCAAATCGGTCATTTGGGAGCTTGCAAACTTGGAACAATTCGAGTAAGCGTAGGTGAGAAATTATTTTTGACATGTCGAAACTGCATCTGCTTTTACTTAAAAGCTAATGCCAGGAACTGAAGTTATCGTTCTATCAAGAAGTTTCTCAATGTTTACCACTGCACTCTTAAATAAAGCTGAACCAGTTTGTTTGGTCTTTCGATTAAAACTCTTATTAAAGAAAAGGAATCCTTTTAAGATCCAACGCATCTTTAGGAAATCATATTTCTTCTATGCCTTCGTAGGACGGTAAAAATTTCAAAATTGTTATTTAGTTGGTATACCAATTTTATTTTAAAAAATGTCAAAACGCGCTTTCTCGTTGCTCAAGGCTTCTAGAAAGACATCAAGGCGCCATCAAGTCGATAGAGGATTAGTCGCCGGCGATACTGAATAAATGCAGATGCGTATTCATTCTGTTCGTGAAATATAAAATCCCGTTTATAATTTTCGTTTGCTATAATTGTAAGCATATTGAATTGTGTTCAGTGTCCGTCTTAACATTGATATCGTAGTAATCAGGACTGCTCTTGTTATAAATGTGTCTGCAATTAAGTGATAAATATTGAATTGTTATGAATCAATCTTTGATTCTTTGACCTAGTAAGTCTGGTAAATCAATTATTAATGAATTCCTTTGTACCGTCTGGGGTTGTGCAGTTTTGAAGCATTTCGTCACAGAGTCTCTTTAAATTTCGCCCAATCCGCCTTACGGTATACAGAGTGTTTCTACTTAGAGTGGACAACGCAATAGCCAATAAGGGTTATAATACTTGTCAAAATTAACACTTTTTTAAGTAATTTTTTTTCACTTTGGCTTTTGTTTCCGAATTATGGGCCTTTTTTTGGTTATTTTAGAAATGTCTTTATCGCCATTATTTGTAGTCAGAAAAATTCAAGGCTTTTGAAGTCAACAGTTTAATATCTACAAATTTGTTTTACAAAAAATTTACAACAAAATGATGGTCATTTTAAATTTTGGAAATTGATTAGCACAAAATTTACTCCACCAATTTTAAGTTTTTGATCGTTGCACATCTGGAATCCATTAAAGCTTATATTATATAGGAAAAAACTCGATCGATGAAGCACTAAAAGGCACTAACATCCGGCGCCGGTCTCGTCGTTAGTACTTCCAACGAGGGTAGGAAACCAGCACTGTCCTAGAGGATGTCGTTTTCTCGAAAACGGCTGGTCGGGCTGATGCAAGGCATGAAGCACCAACGAGCACTAACGATTGGCGTCGCTCGCGTCGTTAGTGCTTCCAGTAATAACTAGTATAGTTATAGATCATCTATATTGAATCTCATTTTTCTAAGTGTAAATATAGTCGTTAATTTGCATGAAACATAAATGCGCTCACAGTAATTAAGTCCGAATTCAATGTTGATTAATGTTTTTTTGTAAATAATTTCTATTCTCTTTCTATTATGAATATTTTATGGTTATTTAGGTTACAATAAAAAATGTTTGTACAATAGGAAATAATTGCGTTGAGGTACATAATGAAAACTTTATGTAAATAATTTGTTTCAAACGATCGCACGTGGGTGGTACTTTGTTTGCAGGCCCTGAGTACCTTTCTTTCTTTCAGCATTTTGTCCAATAAATTTGTGTTGTAAATGAGCAGTTTTGCGTTTAATCGAACCCAGATTATGACCCAGATAAGAGTTTTCATTATAAATTAGTACCCAGCGTTTCTAGATAATAATTAAATTCATTATTTGGAATTGTGGGAAAGAGGCCAAGGATGCTGCGTGTCCAAAAATGAAAGTCTTATCGAGATTTTCGCTGGACGTGCCCTGGAAAAATTATAATTGACTCGTATAACAATTTTGACAGAGTTTGAGTTTATGCGTGGGAGTTATTTAAATTACCTGAGTTTAATTGAGATTGAGCTACTATAGCTGTTTGTGGTTTAATGAAAATTGGTAGAAACTGAATATGTAAGCGTGCAAGATTAACCTCTCTTTTACCTAGTTAAATATTGTACAAATCAATAGGGATATCGTCTACTTTCGAAGAAATAAAACTAGAAAAAGAGTAAAATGTGCTTTAAATTTAATTACGAGCGTTAGTACTTGAACTTTCCAAACTCGCGAGAAATTCATTTTCATTGTTTTCAATCCAAGTTATCCCGAGCAGTAAATTCAATTCCCATTATAAACACACGTAACGTTCTTTTGCACATTCGAGTGCACGAAGAATAAAATTTATCGTCCTTTATTATTTTATAGGTCCATACCTTCGGGCACACTTTCGAAAGTTTCGAATTATTTCAGCTGTACGTACGTAATTTAAGCAAATAGGAAGTTTTGACGCAATCAATGGGCTAACAGTCTAAAAGCTTTTGAAAAAGTTTTGGGTTTTCTACACTTGTTGCTTAGAAGTTTAGAACTAAAAGGGCTAATGCGTAAATAATTTTGCAGGTTCTAAGGAAAAAGTTAAACAAGAGTACTACACTAAAGGCATGATATTGCGAAATTTACGGGATACGCGTGGCGACTTTGTACAAGAGCTAAAGAATTACTCGAAGAATCTAAATAACGAAACAGACGAGGAGTGGAATCTAAGGCTTAGGAAGAAGTTGGAAGATTACGAAGAGTTCATGGTCGAAGTGTATCAAAACTTTACTGTTTTCCGCACTCGAAACAACCCAAAGTCGTGGACGTTCTTCAACGCCATCGTTTATTGCGGAACACTTTACACTACGATTGGTGAGTAAAATGTAGATGGTTTATTTTAAAATCGCGGTGTTAATTTCGACACACGGGCCACAGAATTTAAAACAACGTATGCGTGGGGTGAGCTATTAAATAAGTTCCTGTCTGCCAATGTTTACGAATAGGATACAATTTCCGTGACTAAATGCGTAATTTCAAAAAATCTGTAAATCCCATTCTTTTACGATCAGAGATCGAGTTTAAAATGAATGTTGGTAGAAACAAATCTGGATGTTGGTTGCCAATGATGCTAATTAATACAAGTGCCATGCCAAGTCTTCTTATAGGTTTGTGCCAGATTTTATACTTAACGATCTTGACCATTTTTCACTGCCCATACTTGTCATCGACCATAAAACGGACAACTAATAGTCTTTGCCGAATTGCTGGTAGTAATGAAGGCCCCAATTGTAACCGTTTAAAATGAATTTTAAACCCTCTGAACGCGTTAACTTCTGAACGAAAGAAAAGTGCTGTCATTAATTAGCAAGTGTGGGTCTACTGAAAGATCAAACTATACACTGATCTTTGGTAGACTGTATACAACCCATGAGTGCATTTTTCACATTTTCAACAAAATTAGTGTTCGAGGATACGCTAGTTTTGCCATCACTAATGGATATATTTCTTCCAGACGTCCCAATCACTCTTTGTGAGGAAGTACCCTGTTCCGATAATCTGTCCTTGAGATATAAAGAATTACATCCGATTACGATAAGAGGTCGAGGAGGAGGACTATGGTTGGTAGAAATTAATTCTTTTCGTTGAGACCTTTCATTAGAGAACCATGAGTTCCACGCCCCTCTCTCCCACCTCCTCTTTTGATAAGCAGTCAAAAAGGACAGTAGTTGGTATAAAACAATTCCTTTTGTTGAGACATTTAATTTAGAATGCCATGAAAGATAAAATTACTACCCCCCCCCCCCCCGCCCTCGGTTACGAGACCTTCCATTAGAATACCATGAAGGATAAAACGTGTATTCACCACCGCCCCCCCCCTCCTCATAAAATATTCAATGTGCGGGTTTTCAAGGAACAGCCTAAGTTGCGCATTTTAGGGAGCAGGGGTAAAGCGATTCCGATTGTGACAAACTTTGGTAATCCGCGCAGTCATATTAAGATAAAATTTAATTTATCAGAAAGAAAAAAATTACAATTTATTTCACTTAAATTCGAACCAGCAGCGGTCGGCGGAAACCTGGATGTTGTAGTGGGCGGAACAGTACGGATATCTCGAGCGCCACCAGGAGGTTTCAACTATTGCGGGCGGCGGTTTCAGAACGGAACTTCGGAACCACAGGTACTCAAATAGAAAAACGCAAAACTCCAGCGCTGATGCGGCCAAATGGCATAAAACCAAAACAGAATTACGGCACACGCAAACGGTAGCAACTTCCCACAATAGGAACGGAAGCACAAATCAACTATATGCAAATGTTAAGCTCTGCAAGTGAGATGATTTTTGTCGTACAGCGCTTACCTATTTCAACTAATTAGGCCATTTCGGGAAGGGAAGAGTGGACTTTCCAGCTATTGCACCAAACTCTCATGATATCGTTTCTTCGCTTTTAATTCGACTAGAGCCAATCTAATCAGACGAAGTTTGCTGCAACCCTCATTTTATTGGCCGGATTAAAATTTGCAAATTCGGCAACGCAGTAATGCCCAATGTTAAATGGAACTTCGGATCAATCGCAAAAAGACTGCGATAACGAAATAAACTGCACGACCTTGCAGTTTTACCTCTAGATTTAAACTTAACATAAGAAAACTAAAATCGGTTAATTAACGAAGCTGAAATCGTATAATATTAATCCTCTTCTAATCGGAGAGAGCTATAATTTAAATATCGCGACGGGAACGGTTACAAACGGCAAATTAGTTACAGTATCTCGATTTCGGCGGCTAAAAGACGACGTTAGAAATCAAAGCAATTACTGTTACCTTCCCTTGGTAAAGAACTACATAGGTCCAGAAGGTACAGTGCCTCAATTTTATAACATGCGTGCGTTCATGTACCGTGCGATCGTCAAAACTGACAGATCTTACGCCGAAAAATGGGTGCATCGTTACACGATTGGCTCTTAAAGAAAAAATCTAGGAAAAAATTGTTCACTTAATTACTAATCATTTTGAAAATGGAGATAATTAAATTAAGAAAATAGGTAGAGATTAATCTGGAGAGACTTTTGAATTCGTTTGGCTTTGGGCTACGGGAGTGTACAGATTAAAATGTGTATAGCTGTTTCGGGAGATTCGATTTTCAATCACGCAAGAAGAAACCACGTCTGTTGTCGCGATAAAATTCGTTCTGAAATCGCCAGCGCGAAAGTTTATATTTTTCGGCTATCATAGAACCAAGTCATGGAAATTTTAAGTGCGAAATACGAATCAAAATACAATAACATTTAGCCCAGAACCCAGAATTTTATCCGGATAATAATAATAATAATAATAATAATAATAATAATGTTTATTGGACCTATTCAATTTACATTGTTTGTCACGTCAAAATGGTATATGAGATATAAACGAGTATAGGTATATATAAATATTTCACACATTAAAAATATCACAGTATGTTAGGAACTACAAGACTAGATTCGCGTGCATTAAGGAGTAGGTATTCAAATATTCTGCGATACTGTAAAAACAATTTTGCAACAAGAGTTTTTTAACATTAATTTTAAATTTAGGCAATGACATTAGTTTTAATTGACTATCCAATTTGTTGTAGAGTTTTACATTCAGTGAGTTTCTGTCGGACACACATAGCTTAAATTTTGGGGGCAATAACAATTGACAATAGCGAGTGTTGTAATTGTGGATGCTCCTATCTGATACTTCTCCTTTAGAGATTGTTAATTTATGGATATCAACTAATGTGTTATAAATATATATGCATGGTAATGGCATTATTTTATAGTATATTAAGATACAGTGTATAATCAAGTCTTTAAAGCACGCGCAACGAGTTTAAGGACACGACGCAAAGCGGAGTGCCTTTAACGTTGCAAGTGCTTTAAAGACCAATTGTACACGTGTATCTTATAGTATTTTTTATTATACCTGCAGTATAATTTAAAAATAGGAAATACAATGAAGTCATATTGACGTTATACTCAAATATACATGTCTAATTAAGTGGGCTGGGTGTTCGTAATTTCACGATTGCCATGGAAATGTCACTTGACGTTTGCTTAAAAAATCATCGTCTTTGTGAATTTAACGATTTCCGTTGAAAAAGATAATACACCGTCCATTAAATCGATTGTTGTAAAATCTAAACAAACGTTGGTAGGTGTAAAATCCAACTGCAGTAAAGCCTATTATAAAGAATATGAAAAGTTGTTTCCATGAATAGGAAGTTACGAATACAGTCTTAAATGCATCCATAATGCTGGCATATATGAAGGAAATGTCAAAGGTATTTAAATCTTCTGTATTTTGGTGCATTCATTCAAAACTTTAAAGCAATGCTGCGATTAAAAAGTGGAACAGATTTGGAAGCATACCCTAAATTACGCGCGTTTGTGAAAGCTTCAACCAAAGGATAGGTACAAACGCCAAAGAAATGTTCTGCATTTACAGAAAGCGACCTAAGAGGATTTTTTTATTTCATCCAGATGACAGTTTTAAAAGTCATACTTGAAGTATCGTTACTTAGCAACTTTAAAGCACGTGTGTTTTAAAGGCCCTTTTTCGCACGCATTTGAGTGTTTAAAACGGAGATTGTGAGTCAGGTATAATAAAAAAATGTTTAAACACATCTCTGCAATGATCTCTATTTCCAATACTGGCAATAATCCGCACAGCTTTTTTTTGAATTCTAAAGACTCTTTCAGAATGAGGAGATCTGCCCCATACAGTTATCCCGTAGCTAATTCTGGAGTGAATGAAAGCGTAGTAGCTTGATATGAGTAGGTACATGAACATTTACAGATTGTCGTAATTTTAATAACAAATAAATGTTGGAAGATAATGTCGTGCATAATCTGTCCACGTGAGTCTCCCAATTGAGTTCATTGTCTAATGTAATACCTAGCAATTTGACCGAGTTTCTGGTACAAATAGATCTGGTGGCGGTAAAATTAATTTTTTGAGTTTTGCTGACGTTATGTTTTAATTTATTGCATTGAAGCCAGTCGTTTATTTGTGAAGCCAGTCGTTTATTTGATCCGGATATGATTTTTAAAAGGAATAAAGTGCTTTTTTATTTCTGTAAATGATACAGGTTTATTCAACGACACAGGTAGTGTAAGTAAAATCAGATGTATCGGAGAAATTTACACGAGTAATGTTCTCCATACGGTTCGTTAATACTTGCAATTACAATTCAAGAACAATTATCGAAGTGTAGATCAACAAACTTCGTGTGTAAGTAGGTCACAAGTAATAGTTGGTAGAGTTTTCCCGGCCGGTAATGTAGAAACCCATCTATGGCGTGCTTCAATTGATAAGATGGCGGTGAACCTACCCAAATGAATATTCCTTGCGCAATATTGAGAAAATCGAGAATTCGGCAGTTTCCACTCAGGAATCTCGATGTAGAAAGCACAATCCGCCATCCGGTAGGTAATATCTCCTGAAGTAAGAAGAAAGAAGCCTAAAATGATCATTCAAAGCTGAAAGGTAAATACGTAATTTTAATACCTAAAATGGCCTTAGAACTTGTGAAGTATATCTGCAAATGCGTGGAAAGTGTCGAAAGCAAAATAACAAGAGAAAGATAAAGTAAACGTATACAGCACCTAAAAATCCCAAAAAGCTGACAAAAATTGTCCAGTAACCATATTAGCGTGTATGTTCTTCTACAAGTAATGATCGTCTCGTTTTTGTACAAAGAAGTGGGTGCGGCGAAAGGAATTAAAAAGAACTGCACGACCTCCGTTGGCGAAACAAAGAACAATACTAAATTTGAATTACGAGCGAATAGAACGTAACAAAATTAAGTCGCCCGCTTTGCGCTACATAAGATAAAATTAGCGGAAAGT